ATATATTTAAAATAATATATTTACGTTGTTTCATTTTTTAACTTTGTTATAGTGAAAAAATACATTTTGCTTTCAAAGCAGTTGTGCTTGATTAAAGCAAACTCAACACATACGCACAATGAGCAAAAAAAAAAAAAAAAAAAAACGGAAANATCACTTAAGCAACAAAAAATTGAAATCTAAACTACAAACAGTGAGCAGTTCAAAAATTCACGTTTTCCGTCATTTTATGAATTTCTTAAGTTGCAATAACATTGCATTTAAATTAGGGAGGGATGTAACGAGTATTTGGCCCTTCTGTGAAAAATTCAGTTGGTTGAATGATCAGTCAAATATTCGGCAGAATATTTTTTAGAAATGTATTTTTCCAAGTTTTTTTAATTTTTGAATTTTTATAGATATTACTTCTTTTTTTTAAAATTATAATCAGACATTTAATTTCATTTTTTCAATACTTTGAGAATTGAGCTTATTATCACTCTTTCCCTGTACTGTAATATAAATAACCAGTAACATAGAAAAGTTTGATAATCAGTATTAAAGTTTTGTTTCAGGAACTAAGAAAAATTTGCTTTTTCTGTTTTTCTATTTTAAGGCATTTTTATTATGACTCAGCATTTTTTTTTTTAAATAAAGTTACTAATAAAATTTATTTTATAGCAATTTTTTTCTGCTAAAATTATGGCAATGAGAAAAATTTGAATTGAGATTTTCGGCATAAGATTTCCATTTGAAAAATTAAGAAAGCTTTTTTTCTATCTTTTTATTTTCTTTAAATTAAAAAAACCTTTTTTAAGACGTTTTCATTATAACGTAGTAATTTTTAATAGCATTTCTATCTTAATTCTTTTTTCTCGGCTTTTTCTGGTAATTGAAAAACTGAGATGTTCAGCTTTAAAAATTTTTCTCAAAAATTAAGATTGATTTTTATGTTCTCTGTTTCGCTTTTCGGCATTTTCAAAAACGTTCTTGATTGGCCTTATTTTTTAGAGTTAATTTATGAATACGTTTTTCCAGGAAATATTATTCTGAGCATTGGAATTTTAGTTTCAATGTTGCTATGCTGCTAAAAGATTTTTCTATTTGGCCCCAAGTGTTCGGCGTTCAGTCGATTTTTTCTTCTTTTTTTTACCGAATATTTGATTTTTGATCAAATCACAATTCATTACCACATTCGACCAAATCATATTCGTTGCGGAAGTAAAAACGGAGGAAAAATAACTAAGATTTAAAATAAAACTGTACCGAAATACCGTATCAAAAATGGATTATTTAATTGCGCGATTAACAATCACGTGTCGTAATAACATCATAGTTAAATAACGGGATCGTCAAAATAATGTGGAAAAGCATAGAAATAAAAAATATATTTATGCTGCACTCAGCACGAATAAAGCGTTTCAAATGCATGATTTAAAATTTGTATGTCGTAATAGAACAATTGGAATTTTTTATAATACGTGGGAACGCATAGCAATAACTGCCGAAAAAAATTTTTGAAAAAAAAGAAAGAATTGTAAAAAAAAGATAAAAAATCACTTAGATTTAAGATGAAATCGTCACAAATAAAGTGCACAAAAAGTGATTATTTAAATTTGCGATCTGAAACTCGCGTCGTAATAAAAATTCGGGGTTTTCGAAATCACGTAGAAAAGGGGAAATAACTGTTTAAAAAAATCATTTATATTTACGATAAAATCGGCTTAAAGAAAGTGCGTTAAACGTACATTTACTAAAGAATCTGTTAAAATTGATTGAGTCAAAACGTGATGACTTAAAAATTGCCATTTTTCAAAAAATTTTTATTGTGTTTAGAAGCTCTCGCGGGCCGCACTTCAGTAGTCGAAGGGCCGCATTTGGCCTGCGGGCCGCAGGTTGTGCACCCCTAAACTAGAGATACACAATGGGCTATTGGCGACGGTCTAAGAAACATCCCTTAGGATGACCCGATGACATACCGTCGCAATTTTGATTCTCTGCAGAGGGGATGGCACCCCCGCTTCAGCAGCACGACAACCTACGCGCGAAGTCGAGCACTTTACGGTTGAACAGTTTAACGAGGACCAATACCGCACACCCTCGGTCCCTTCGTAGACTGATCCAAGTGGTCACCCACCCGCACACTGACCGCAGAAAGTGGTGCTTGACTTCGGTGTTCTACTCGGAACAGTGTCTTAACGATCAGTCCACTGCGGGACAATTTTTACGATGAAAATTTTGTCCCGCAGTGGACTGATCGTTAAGACACGGTTCCCAGCAGATCACCGAAGTCAAGCATCACTGACTGCGATCAGCCCTCGTTAAACAGTTCTACTGTAAAGTTCTCGACTTCGCGTGCGTCCCGCAGGGGACTGATCGATAAGATCAGCAGATCACCGAAGTCAAGCATCACTGACTGCGATCAGCCCTCGTTAAACAGTTCTACTGTAAAGTTCTCGACTTCGCGTGCGTCCCGCAGGGGACTGATCGATAAGATCAGCAGATCACCGAAGTCAAGCATCACTGACTGCGATCAGCCCTCGTTAAACAGTTCTACTGTAAAGTTCTCGACTTCGCGTGCGTCCCGCAGGGGACTGATCGATAAAATACGGNGATGAAACCCGAGCCTTCTATGGCACGTCTTCGGATCATCCTCAAGGATGTTCGTGCACACCGTCGCCAATAGCCAATTGTGCAGCTCTAGTGCGACGTAAATTAACAATAACATCGACTTCGCGTGCAGGTCGTCGGGCTACCGAAGCGGGGGTGCCATCCCCTCCGCTGATGGCATGTCTTCGGATCATCCTCAGGGATGTTTCACAGACCGTCACCAATAGCTCATTGTGCAGCTCTAGTGCGACGTAAATGAACTTCAACAACAACGTCGTACTACAGCTGCATTAGGCGACGGTCAGTCAGGGAAACATCTCTAAGGATGATCCAAAGACACGCCATCAGAATTTTGATCCTTTGCAGTGAGAATGGCTCCTCCAATTTGGTAGTCCAGTGACTTACGCGCGAAGTCGAGCACTTAAAGCAGAACAGTTTAACCAGAACCGATACCACGCACCGTCGGTCCCTTCGTAAGATGACCGAAGTGGTTCACTGACCGCTGGCAGTAATGCTTGACTTCGGTGATTTACTGGGAATCGTGTCTTAATTGTAGCTGATTATCAGGTCTTGTATATTTGTTAAAATTGTTTGTACACAGTGGTTAGTATAGTGATAGTGCAGTAGTACTTACCAAAACTAATATTCTAATATATAACTTCTGAATATTATTGCCACATTTTTATTCTATTTATGATGGATGGTATTTTACTGATAGTAATTGTAGTTGATTATCAGGTCTTGCATATTTATAACAATTGTTGGTACACATTGGTGGTCAAATTCCTTCTAAATCAAATTTACTAAATCAAAAATAAAATGGCAAAGCCTAAAATTTTCTTAAAGTTAAAATTTTTTTAAACTGGATAACACAAACTTGTATTCATGAGCAGGTTTTTCCTTAATCACTCGATATGGGCAAAATGGGAAATTTTGATAACTTTTAAATATCCTGACAGCGATATATGAGAATAAATTCTCTTAATATATTATAAACTCTGTGTTTTAAAATAAATATTGAGTGAGAATAAATAAAGATAATTATCAACAATAATACCGCACTTATTATCAATGATGATAAATACCGCATTATGTACTATTGTGATCACACATTACAATATTTATCAAAAATAATGTCTGATTTAATTATTTTCGATAATTACCTATATAACATCACTATTACTATCGGCAATCATTCTATCCTTGGTGTAGAGTCTTACTCGACAATTTATATAGTTATTTAGTTACTCATTCATTATTATTATTTTCTTATTTTTGGTTCGTAAAAATGTTTTAAGTGTCCAGCAAAAATATAGAATTTAAACTAATGTTCATCAGATAAATGCTAAAAAATATTGTCAAACATTGATATTATAACGGAATACCGCACAGCACTATTCCTTAAGTGATTCAACTGTACCCTGGTTATCATAAATTAAGAAAAAATTCCAAAAATAGCTATAACTCTCCCAAAAATAAGACAATCACAAAGAAAGGATCTTAGTTGAATTTGATGTCAACTAAGATTTGCTAAGTAAAACTGCAATATGTTAATTGGTGATGGTGCAATAGAATGACATCATCTGCAATTAGCATAAAATTGTATGTTTGATCGCAAGCCTGCGAATTTCGCTGTTACTGAAATTAGAAATTTGAGAGTCAATTTGTAACGACCTCCAGGCATCAATGGAAGACAAGAGGCACGACAAAGTCAGAAAAGGCCAGATGGCTAAATGCGATTCCCTCTGTGACATAGCAGTCATAGACTTGAGCATTCCTCATAATCTTTAGCAACAATTTCAAACCACAGGTTCAGCCAAGGACGGCCAAATGCTATGAGCACCGAAGACGGATATTCATCTTTATGTGCACAAAGAAATAAAATCGCAACTCTGAGTCAGTCAGCTTCTTAATGCAGCCATCAGAAGATTGGTGGTCAATGTATACTGTGTGTAAGAACGTGGTTCATTCTCTAAACGACCAGCCATTTGCATGCCACTCGTCACACTACGGAAAGGAACGTTTGAGATGAGTGTTCACTGGACACTAAACCAATGAAGGGCTGTTCTCTTCACAGACGAGACCAGGTTTAGCCTTTAAAACAATAGTGGCCTAGTTTGATTTACAGAAGACCTGGCACCCAAGATCAATGAAACCGCTGTGAAAGAGATGCATACGATATGCAGCCTTATGCTGGTGCAATAGGTGACGATTTCGTACTACAGGATAATACAACACTGCACAGGACTATATATATGTATAACGCAAATGCAATTCCATTAGTGTCACCTCAAATCAAAAGAAAGTGTATCATGCCTTAAAGAATAATAATAATCAAAATAAAACATAACAAAAGTCTTTATTTTTCTAAAAAAAAGAAAACACTCTTTTTTTTTTTCAAGGAACAATAGTTTGACAGGAAATGAAAAGAATTTATTAAAGTGTAAGGATTCTTGTTAAATTATTCAAACAATGATAAAGTCCCATAGGAAATTAAATAACACATTATTCACACTATAATTATAACTTCAGAATAACACTATATATTTAATAAAAAACAAAATTATAGGTTTTTTTGAGAAAAATAATTTAACCAAGAAATAATTTAACATAACTAAAGTGCATTCCATTCTGTCTTCCATAATCCATACTGCCTTCTGTTAAGTTAATGACCTATTCGTTAAAATATTTTTGCTATTTCACTTTTTATCACATATCAAAATTCATTTCTGCAGGAATTCTTTTTTTCAATTGCAATAATTCATTTGTCATCTCAAATTGACTTACATTTGTATAAAACAGATCAAATTAAATCAATAGATAAAAGAAATTTAATAAATCAAATAGAGGTTGTTCCACTTCTCCAAAATTTGCTTTAAAAAACTATATTTTTCTCTTTTTTTCTAAGATAATTAAAACACACAGAAATAAAGCAAACTTTCATATCATCATTCAGAAAGTGATTCACCCATCTGTGTGTTTGTGGCCCTAAAGAGTAAATACACTCAAATATAAAACAGAGAGGTAGTTTTAAATTAAAATTATAAAAGATGTAGAATGTCAAAAAGTATTGTTATCTCTTAATTATTCATTAAAGGCAAAATAACAGAGAATGCAAACTTGAAGAGTAAACTGTCAAAGATAGAAATAAAAGTTTTAAATAAAAATTTAATTTACAGAATTAAGTTATACGGAAACAATGTCAAAATATCAAGCGCTGACTGAGTGTATACATAAATTCACTTTAATATTTTTACATATGTATATTAAAATCTTGAATCATACATTGAAAATGCATCATGAAAATTTAAATAAAAATTTCCAACTATTCATCTTTAATATTTCAACATTCAAAAGAAAAATAATGGAGTTCCAAAGAAATTTTAAGAGAATAAAATGGTATATAAACTCATATATGGGAAATTCCAGCTTTCTCATCATAAAATAATATTTCATGTAGCCAGTAAAAAAATATATATATATATTCTTAAAAGTGCCAATTCTTATAAATTTGAAATTATTAAAAGATAGTTGTAGCAAATTTATATTAACAGATGTATTTTGGCACACTTATTTCTTGTATCATAGAAAGTACAAAAAGATCATGAATCCCTTACAAACAATTTTAGTTTCATATATATATATGTCTTAGGCGAATCTCTGAATTAAAATGAGCAACTTTAGCACTTAACAAAAAAATTAAAACAAATTTAAAAGCCAAGTCCTCTAAAAATTAGGAATTAAAAAAAAAACAGAACTAACTTCATAACTTTTAAGCACAAGTACCACAATTGATAAAAAAAAGAACAATTATTAGAAAAACCAGTACCTGATATTAACATTTTCAAATGCATACTGAATTCTGATGATTACATATCACTTTAATGTGTGCACAGCATACATCAACCAGAAATAAATAACTGCTACAATGCATAAGGCATTTGAAATAACCTAAATGTCCATCATTTTTAAAATTGTGTAAGTTCCATAAAAGTGGCAGGATGAATATATGGTTTCATTTAAATATGAAAGACCTTTCTTGTTTTACACCTCATTAAAGTAATAAAGTAGTTAATGATCACGACGAACTTTCTTTTTCTTCTTTTCCTTTGCTTCTGGATAAAGTCCTAAAAAGAAAAAGATATTACTGATACATACTTTTTCCTAAAAAAGATAAGTAGTTTGGAATTTCTTACAGTTATAAAAACAAAATCTTGAGACATAAATTAATTCAACATTAGGCTAAACTGAAAAACGTTTTTTTTTAATAAACATCAACATTATATGACTATATAGTTATTTCAAGAGCACTGAAACAAAATTTTGCCTGAGGTTTTGAAAGTTCATACTACTGCATTCATTCATTTTTATCTTCATCATGAAAAAAAATAGTAACTAAGGAATACATTTAATGAATTCATGATGCCCTCTTCGACTGCTTCTTTCTTTGCTATTATAATCCTCATTTATCAATCATTCATTAAAGATCTCCCGCTTCCCAAGACTAAGGACACAATTTGGTGAGAAGATAATAAAATGCCAATTAGCCCACCTTTTTTCTTTCGCACAAAGTATAAGTAAACTCTTTTACATTCAACTTTTTTATGCTGCAAAGAGGAGAAAAATGTTGTAGTAAAAAATGGTAGCATATTAATTTTTAAATAAAGTTAGCTGATACAGATAAGTTTTAAAAAAATATAATTCCATTACAGATTTAAATTAGATACACAGAATTACTAATATATTTCAATAGATATGTATAGTTTGCAAAAGCAAAGCTAATAAGATAATAATTCACTTTCTTCTGGAACTATTATTTTGGAAATTATTTTATGAAATGAACTATTCTTTATTAAAAAAAAATACTACATTCAAACGATGGTGCCGGGCTCTAACGGTTCAATAGGGTTAATGTAGCTGTAGTAAATGTTGGAGGAATATAGTAAATAGGAATATAGGAAATTGAGTTGTTGAAAAAGTTGGAGGAATATAGGAAATAGGAGTAAATGTTGCTGATATCCAAAAGAAAAAATAAATATTTAACTACAAAATTAATAAATTACAAAAACTTAATAAAAAATATCCAAATACAGTCAGAACGCCTCATTTGACACACTGACTTATCTGTTTGCTGAGATTTGTTTGGAAATTTTAAGCCTAAGAAAACTCGATGGTTTGACTTAACTACATCATAATGCACGAAAACTGAATGTAGTATTAAGAAAACTGTATCTAAATACAGTTCAATGAAGGTTTATACTTAAATTAAAAAATTCAATAAACTAAATACAAAATGAAATTCAAACACAAGTGAGCTAATTCATCAAAACAGAACTTTTTTTAAGCATTTTCAGTTATCTTATAAATTATTTTAAAATGTTTACCTGCTAATTCATCAAAGACAACATTGGTTTTTGAGTCCTCAGGCGTACTAACTGGCTTATTATCTGAAAAATAGTAAGCACATCACAAAATGAATTTATGAGGTAAAGTTAAATGTAAAAAAAAATATAAATAAATGGGCTACTCTGAGACAACATTACAATTTTTTTGATATTTTAATTTTATATATAAATTTTATATTATAATATTTAAACAATATTTCAATTTTATATTATAAAAACATATCTATGAAATGCTGGGTGGCTGCCTAACTTCCACATGAAAATTCATTTTCAATTGTGAAATATACTAAAAACCAGGTTATAAGTTTGTTTTCTCAGAAATTAGTTTATTACAGGTAATAATTCTCTTTTCTTAAATTTTAACTGTGGCAGTCACTGAACTTGCCTAAGTGGCAGAAATTGAAAAAATTATATTTCGAAATTCGTATTAAATAAAATACATTATATTTAAAATAAAATAAGCATTATCTAATACGTAATATGGTTAAATATAAAAGTATCTAAAAGTAGAATAATTTTTGCTAATCATTTATAACAGTATCTTTTTAAACATTATTTCCACAATTTTTTTATATAAATCTGTACGTCAAAGGTAAAGGACACCATATCACAAAAATATAATTTTCTAGGGGAATATATTTTAGATTTTTTCTTTTTCAACTTAATTCATGGAAGCTGTTCTACGACTAACTTTGCCATTTATTATGACAAGACAGTGTTCTGTCCCATACTACAACAGAGAGTGAAAAATCTACAACATGGACATGGTATCAACTCAATTTTAGAACAAATGGGTATGGTGTTCTTTACCTCCAAAATACAGAAATTACAATTACATATGTATTGCTTCTCAAGTGACATATTGAACGTAACCAGGCTTGAATTAATTTTTGTATTTACTTTAAATTAAGTACTGCCATCTTTTTCTTCTGTACCTGTAAACAATAACCCACCAGAACGAGTAAAATAACTTCAATAGATAGCATGATTTAGGTCTTAGGGTGTGAGGAAACTTATCTCTCAGAAAAAATATGATTTGAATAAAAAAAAATCCTTTAAAATAATATTAAATTTAAACACTTAATTATCGAATGAGACAAGACTTAATCATTTAATGAGCCTGTTTAGAGGAATCTTGTAGTACCAAAATGCATTCAATTAAATTGTTCAATTTATTATGTTAAAACTCTGTAATTAAATTAAGTTTTCCATTTTTAATTTCATTTAAATCATTAGATGAAACCTTACCAAATAAAATTTACAATACAAAAATTACAGTTTCGAACCTTTTTCTAACAAAGAAAAAGTATTATTAAAATAATGATTTCATTAATGGAAAATTTTTAATTAATGCTTTTCAACTTTTTAAAAAAAGATGTTTTTAACAATTAGTCCTGGTCTCCAGGTCTATATAGTTTTAAAAGTTCTCTTCAAATCCAGTAAAAAGCAACTGGAAGTAATTTATGACTCAATCTAATATTATTCTAATTTATCTCAAATTATATCATTAATATACATAAATAATGAAACATCCAATAATCTGCAAAGAAAAAAAATGAATTTTTTGTGAAGAATAAGTGCTGTGCAACAAAAAATTCAAGATTGAGATTTCTATAAATTTAGCATTTTTATCTGATAAGTTACATACAGCAAAATATTTATTTTAAAAAAAATTTAGTTTACTTAAATTCTACTTTAGCGTTGATAGCAGCTTTTCTCAAAATCTACAGTGAAGCATTTACATTTTCTCAATTACATAGCAGAGTAGAGATCTGTTTTTATATACTAAGATGTAATCTGGATGCTCTGAGTAGATCAATTAAGCTAAGGTAATTTATAAATATCAACAACTGATTACACATTAACAGTAAAACTTTCTTTACATCATACACTTAGTAGATTGATACTAATATTTTAAAAACTAGAAGAGTTCCTTAAATTAAGAAAAGCTGGTGAAGTTTAAGTAAAGAGAACATAATCAATAAAACAATACAATAATATAAAGCTATATTTATTACTTTATATCCATTATTTTATATTCAAAAATGATAAAAATATTTAAATATCTAAGATAAAAAATTATTTTATTAATAAAGAGTTTTTATACCAAAAACTAAACTTTGGCCAAAAAATTTCATAGTTTCAACAGTTATGTATATTTTACATTAATCTACATGTTTTCTAGAAAATTAGCTGAAATAAAATGCTTATACAGCCATCAACTTTCTTTCAGAGATATCAGGAAACTAGGCACGATAACTCTATACATTTTTATATTATTTGTTTCAAAATTTAATATCTTAAAAAATATTAGTATAATTTCTGTTTTATATACGATTTTTTTTTTTTTAAATTGATTTTGAAGAAATGGTAGCATATTGGATACTCAGTTTTTAATATGTTCAGGTTTAATGCTCAAATGTTAATATATAAGTTCAGGTTTAATGTTCATGTAATCAAAAATTATAAATATAACTTTCAAACTATGTGTAACAAAAAGTACATTAATTATACACATGCTGGGAAACTTTTAGTGAATCAAATGAAAATTATAGAAGTTATGTCTGCAAGGAAGGAAATTGCTGATTTGAGAAAAATTTAAAATTTCATAAAGCTGATTTCATCCAAATATGTGTTAATGCAAAAAACATACCTTTCTTATCTGCACAAGTTTTAACTTAAAATTTTCAGAAAATTTTCTCCCTTGCTTATGGTAAAATTATGCAAAAATAAAAAATTCTTGAAAATTTTATAACTGTGCAGGATTACAGATTTCTGAAATAGCTAATCTCATTCAAAATTGGGATTTTAATATTAAAATTACATAGTTTGAAAAGGGGTATCACACTCAACAATGTCTCTTGAGTTAATATTTTTCAAACAAATTGTAAAAATATCACTGATTTATTCAATAGTTACTTAAATTTTTGATAAAAAAATTCCTATATCCCCCACGTAATTTTTTTTTAAAAATCGCAAATTTGAACTAAACTGGAACAATAGTTCTTAGGGGGGAGAACAAAAATAAAAATTACATTTCAGACCTCATTAACTAAACTCATTTTTTCCAAAATCCATTTATCATTAAAAATTAAATTAAAGATTATTCATTATTTATTTCATACTTTAAAATTGAAAAGTAAAAAATGCAAAAATGTTTAGAGCTTACCGTTTAAAAATGCTATTTGAATTTAAAAATGACTGCAAGGACACTTTTTAATTTTGAATTTGTTAATTATCACAATCCTTTTTTCAAATTGAGGCATCTTCCCTCACTATACTTAGTCAAAAATTTATCTAAAAAAGGTAAATTTATTATGAAAAGTTTCTTTATGTGCCGATTTTGTGACTGAATTTAAGGACAGCACAAATTAGTATAAAGTAAGCCTTTTGAATCATTCAGATTACAGTTTAGTATCTTAAAAATGCTTTTTCGTGACTGAACTCATTAACAGTATAAATTAATTTGTATTTAAAATGTGCCTTTTGAATCATAAAGATAACAGTTTTGTAAAGAAAAACCAAAGAGTTAGTTGGATCTAAAGTTATTGAGGGTGATATTTATTTTTTGTCGAACTGCAAAAGACTCACCAACAACAGGCTCAGATGACTTTGGAGGAGCCAGAGGTGCCTCAGCAATTTTGGATACTGGTTCAATCTCTACGGGTGGTGATGCAATAATGGAACTAGCTTCCACGGCAACAGATGCAGCTCCTTGTTTTTTCTTTTTCTTTTTAGATTTGCCAGTATCTTCAGAAGCTGTTGGAATGTTAGTAGAGGGTTTCAAGTCATGTTCTAAATTTTCATCAGGTTTTACTTCCACAGTACTGTCTAATTTAGCAGGTTTTTCTGGACTTGCAGGTGCTTCCTTTTTACTTACGGGTGCCTCTTTTTTAGTTACGGGTGCCTCTTTCTTAGTTACGGGTGCCTCTTTCTTAGTTACGGGTGCCTCTTTCTTAGTTACTGGTGCCTCTTTCTTAGTTACAGGTGCCTCTTTTTTACTTGCGGGTGCCTCTTTCTTACTTATAGGTGCTTCTTTTTTATTGGGTTTTTTCAACAGCTTTTCTTCAGGCATCTACAAAAAGAAAAACTAACTATTGATACACTTAAATATACAATATTAAGTAAAGCATCATAAAAGTTAACTTTTTAAAAACAATTAAAATAACAGTAAAACAGTTTACAATACCTAATTCGAAAGGTGACAATTTGAAGATTTTGCATACGTGGTTATAACTATTCTTTCAAATATTTTAGTCTAACAACATCATGCTTAAACATGCCATAGTCAGTTAGAGACATTAAGCATCAGTAATACTTTGAACTATGAAATTAAGAATTTTTGAGACATTTTTTCTTTTAATAGATTAGGTTTATTTATGTATTTAGTACATTTAAAATGCTTATAAATTTTTTTGTTGCTTTTATCAGTAAGTTTAAAACAAATTTTGTGTTATATAAATACTGCTACTTAATTCATGCACGAAAAATTTTCTTATTTTTAAAAAAGAGTTTTTGTTTGATCTAACAAACAAGAATCATATTTAAAAACAATAAAAAAAATTAAATAATGAACCAAAATCAGAGTATTCATAGCTTGAAGTTATTTTTAAAGTATTTAATCATAATTTATTTTGATTACAGTTCTGAGAATATAAATGCCTTTAATTTACAAAAATAAACTTTTAACTTGAATCATTACAAATAAATATGAATATTCAGTATTGCAGCCATGTTTCATTAGACATTGAAATATAATTTAAAAATTAATCTATCCTATTTAAACTTAACCTAATTATATTGAAACTTTAAATATAGTAGCTCTTTCACCAGTTAGCAACTGTTATTAAAAAAAAATCATTAAATTTTTTAACCCAATTTAAATTTTTAACCCATTCGTGTATTATTCAGAAAAAAAAGTACATATATCAATCTAAATATAGAACAGAGAAAGAATTATATATTTTTTTTTCAGAAAAATCATAGCAAAATTTTGCTTTGATCAGTTTTTTACCGAAAATTACTTAAAACCTGAATAAATTTTTTCCCTTCAAAAGCATATTTCAGACATTTTCCTAGTTAAGTAACTAGTTTCAAAATTACATAATATACAGTGGCAACGTATATACATACAAAAGCCTCTGGCCAGTATATTTTTTATAACTTCTTTCAGCTTTAGATTGTATATACATATGACTTTAAAAAATATATAAATCTTTAATAAGATGCATATAAGAACTGTGTTGTATTGCTGCTGTATCTCCTATATTCTCAAAAAGAGAAGTGATATTCACATATGTACAGTTACTAGTTACATTTAAAAGTTCTTAGTGTTTCTCCCATTTTTTCACTCTTTCGTTTTCTTGTGTAATGAGTTTACAGTGCATCACAAAATGTTAAACAGTGTACCATCAAGTATCTTTATAAGTTTAGGAGCTTCTCCGTTGTTGCCAGCATCAGTAGCTCTCGAGTCTCTTCTGCAAGTGCCTGGTAGAAGTTTCTTTAGTCATTCTTGGCAGATACTTTCACATTTGTGTGTGTAAACTTACTTTGTTCCTGGTGTCTTTGCCCGATTCTTTCAGATTCTTTAGTGTTTATTTTGGCCTTTATTCTCTTTTTTTTTCCCTGTAGTTTAAGAGTTTCACCGGAAATTCATTCATCCCTCTGTTTTAATTGGATAACTCCTAATATTTATCCAACAACTTTACTATAACATTTTTTGCATCTCCTCCATGATGCCTCTAAGCTTTCTAATATTGCATCATTTTAATTTCCACAATTAGTAAGTACATCAAATTTGTTCCTCAATTCAAAGGTAAGCTTTTGCTAAATATCCTGGTCTCATAGTTTCTATATTATACCTTACTTTTATACTTTTTTTAAGCATTACATTTTGTTACAGCTTTAGTTTTATGCTACTACTTAAATTAGTAGAAAATGGTATGAAGCGACATCAGTCACTCTTTTTAGTTTAACATCAGTAAAATACCTTGTATTTACCATAGATTGATATATTGTCAATCTGGCTTCCACAATACCCATTAGGAGATACCTATGTAATGAATAGCTTTGTGCTAGAAGAAACTTCCTTTTATAATTAAATTATTCGTAGAGCAAAATATGGTAAAAAGTTCACCATTTTTTTGTTTGTTTTTGTTTGCCAATGCTTCATTGTCAGTAGCATGTTCGTCAGGCTGTTTTCCTGTATGTGCAGAACAAAATGATGACTTCTAATACTCATATCTCAACAACTTTCCGTAACATTTTTTCTAATTTTAACATAAATTGTACCTCTGTTGACAGTTTTAAACTGCTGAAACTTTTATTAAAATTACTCAAATAATCTGTAATCTAAATAAATATGCTGCTAAAACTCATTTTTTTTTTTAAATATATATATTTGTGAAGTTATAAGAAACAAATTGCAAATAATAAACAAAGAATTATTATAAATTAACATATGGCTACCTTTTGTGTGAAATAATTAAATATAATTATTTTTCAGGTAATTTTTAATCAAGCAAATTGTGACTAATTCTTTATTGAAAAATATAAGGAACTGAAAGATCTTAACTTATTTAGCATTTAACAAAAAACTGCAAAAAATCTTTTTATTTCGGATATTGCTTTAAATGCATATTTAAGAAAATAAATAAAAAAGTAGAAGCAGCACAAAATGCATATTTAAAGAAATGGACTTTTCAAAATAAATATTTAAGAAAATAGACATGGCTCAAAATGCATATTTAAAGAAATGGACTTTTCAAAATAAATATTTAAGAAAATAGACATGGCTCAAAATGCACATTTAAGAAAATGGATAAGTTTGATTTTGTTTTTTAAACTAAACTAATGAGTATTTTTTTAAGAATTAAACATGTATTTTGAGCTAGGTCCAAAATAAAAAGCTCACTAACGTTATCATGTTGTCTTTTTACTTCATACAATTTGTATATGGTTAGTTCAAATTTCAACTCTTCTGCTGTGAACTTCTGAAAAAGCACTAAACTACACTGACATTTATTTACACTGACTATTTAGAGAATATAAAATAAATAGAATTATTCCAGAATCAACCTCATTTCAACATACTTTCTATTATCTTTTCCTTTAAACCAATTTTTATGCAAAAGTAAACAAATAAGATTCGAAAATAAAATAATTCAAATAATTCAATTACTTCTTTTTTTGCTTCATTAAGAACTTCAACATGACTTGGTGAAGGTGACACTTTTTCTACCTCATTAACATCTAAAAGTAAAGTTACTTTTAATAATGATAAATATAATTTATTTTTATGTTCTATGAATAATTGAAATTTGTTTTAAATTAAATATTGTAAAAGAACAGATATTTCTAAAAGTACAATATAAATTTTAATTGCATTTTATGTAATGTCTTTGAATTGAACATTTATTTGTTCATGAAAATCTTATGTCACTAATTACTATTACAAATAATCTCCTTCATAATTCAAGACTTGTGCTAATATATATTCCCTCAGTCATCAAAAAATTTGAAGTTTACCTTATATATTTGCTCTAAGCCACAACAGCAAAGAACCATGTTGATTTTATATTATACTAAGGCAATAAGGTTGTTGGGTACCTTTGAGAGAAAGGTCTTGAGAAGTATTTTTGGAGGAATTTAAAAAAAATAGTGTGTGGCTTAGAAGATCAAATCTAGAGCTTTATCACTCATATAATGAACCTGACATTATTAACTTTACTAAATGACAAAGAATAAAATGGGCAGGCCGAGTTATCAGAATGGACGAAGACGTACCACAAAAAGAGTTTTCAATGCCAGACCAGTTGGCACACGAAAAAGAGGTAGGCCAAATTTGAGATGTATAGATGGTCTAGAGAAAGACCTTTTGGTCTTAAAAACTAAAAATTGGAAAACACTAGCAAAAAAAAGGTTATCCTGGAATAAACTTCTTGAGAAGGCCAAGGCCCACCCTGGGCTGTCGAGCCATTGATGATGGTGATGAAGTCAATAAGCTTTGACAACTTAAAGAATTAAAAGCATATTACAATTTGTGCTCAGGTTTAAAAAATCATTTTCTTCTTTAAAAAAAATTAATAAATCCTTTTCTTCCATTATCTAGCAAGTAATGACAAGTAATTACGGCCAGCATGACAACTATTTTCTTACTCTATAAGGCCACAACAGGTTAATAAATCATACATTTAATGAATTTATACACAATACTACTTCAGTTTTTTCGACTGTGTTCGTAAAACTTTTGCAACACTTTTCAGGAGCTCTTTGGTTACTTCAGTAAAATCAAATATAAAATTTTTAATTAACTAACAAAAAGTGAAAACGTATGAAAAAAAAACAGAACTAATTTGTTACTCGTACACAACTGATGTGAGGCTATTTTTTTGTTGCCAACCACTTTTGGCACCACTTTTATCTCATACCAAAAACTTAATCAAATATTGCAACCCTATTAAATTTAAAGTTCACATGTATTACGGTCATTTTTTACCTATGGAAATCCATAACTAATCAAAACAACCGAGCAATCCATTGTTCCTCCCCCACACCCAGATAATTACATCACATTCATCTGCATGAACATGAAAACAATCTAAACACTACATTGGCAGCTATCATTGATGTTGGTGGGGAAAAAAACTCAGGAAAAATGGGTGCATGTGCATAATAAATCCATTCCAATTCTGTATAAGGAATAATCTGATGTTACATACAATCATGCAATGCTTAAAGAAAAAGAAAATAGTCACTATTTTTGATAAGTGAACTTATTTGTACTGTGACGGGTATATATTTAAAGAATATC